CTACCCCCTGGCAGCCCGGATCTGTCCTTCATAGTCACACGCGCCCCCGCCCCATTCCTACCCCCTGGCAGCCCGGATCTGTCCTTCATAGTCACACGCGCCCCCGCCCCATTCCTACCCCCTGGCAGCCCGGATCTGTCCTCCACCTCCATAATTTCATTGTTTTGTTTATGCTGTGTAAATGGAATCATACTATGTAACCTTCAGAATTAGCTTTTTTCACTTAGTGTAATTCCCTTTCTGTGTCGTTGTGCGTATCAGTGGCTTGTTGGTTTTTGTTTGGGGGTTAAGTGTATTCCATGGTATGGACAGACCATAGTTTATTTAAGCCACCTGAGGAACTTTACTTTAGCCATACTGCCACTGATATATATATCTTTTACTCTGCTTGTTTTGTCATCGCATGCCTACTCATCTGTCCACTCTTCTGTCCATCCATCAGTCTGATGGTTTTGACGCATTCCGGAGTTAATTGCAGACATCCATGTACTTCCTTCTAAATATTTTGACATGCATACCATTAATTGGTATTCAATACTTGTTTATAGTTTCTCTTGATATAAAGTTTATATCCAATGAAAGGCATACGTTTTAAGTATATGTTCGTTGAGTTTTGACAAGTGCATATACAAGCACAGCTCGGACGCCTGTCAAGATAGAAAAAGTACACCATCCTACCAACCTCAGACTGTGGGTCAGTAGACTTGCATCCCAAACATGAGTTATTTGTAAAAGGTCTCTAATTTTGGTAAGACTGATTCTAACACATCCCATCTAAAGAACCTCTGGTGATTTGATAGACCTCCTTCAGGCCAGAAGACTGGCTTAAAGTGAGGGTAGGTCTTCTGATCTCAGGGGTGAGTGACATCCTTACTCGGGCAAAGCTGCCTCCATCCTCAAGCAAACAGGTGTGCCAGAGACAGGAAAATGAGAGAATTATGCAACAGACACCCATGAGACCACCACCTAAACTCTACAATCAACATTTCCCTATGTTTGCTTTATCAGAAATTGTTCATCAGTTCAGTCTTTCACCAAGCCATCTTAATTGTTTTGATGTGTTTCACCGAATCTCTGCATGATCTCTGTGATTCCGCTCCTTTGCAGCATGAGCTTAGAGAATTAAAACAGAGCTGGTAACCCATGTGAAAATAAGGAGAATCTGAGCCTGCAGATGTGAGAAGCATTTTCGCTTGCTGCCATTGGGGATATGACGTGTGTATTCCCGAGGCTAGCTAGACATCCTGTGACTTGGCTCCATAAGGCGTCGGTAACTGGAAGCAAAGGAGGAACCTCCCGAGGAAATGGACTCTTTCTTAAAGTCCTGGCTAGGTAGGCCGCCTGCCTTCCTGAAGCCCTATTTATAGATCCCAGAGGAAATCTAGGGGATTTTATCTCACTTCCCACCCTACCTTATAAAATTAGTTCAGGTGGGTGGTTAGAATACTAATGTTAAACACCAATTATCTAAATATACACGTAAGGTGGGAACAGAGGGTCAGAAAAGACTTATATTCTCCAACTTGCGGGCTCCAGCCGACAAGATCAAAACTACAGCGCCCAGTGTCTGTAGCTATCAAAGGCTACTTGTGAGCCCAGAGATTTTCTTCTCTTTGCATCCGTAATCCCCGTCATGGGTGTGTCTCCTGCTGCAAAACACGATTCGCGTATTAAATAGCCAAATTTGACTCATCTAAATAGTTTTCCTCATAAACTCAGATTATGTCTTTGCAGTTTGTGCTTTGGTATGGCACGTCACTTTGTCAAGAAAATCTAGACTTCAGGAAAGAACCTGTAGGATATTTCTGGTCGGTCTGGGGCTCCTGGGCTCCCTATTTAGGCTCCCTTTGCTGTAGGGGCTGTTGGCCTGTTTGGCTCATGCTGGTGGCTCAGATTCTTCTGTTATATTCCCTTTGGTGGTCAGCATATTCCCAAGCTCAGGTCAAAACTTGGCTTCTCGTTGAATGAACTGTGTGTCTCTTCCTTAGGTTTATAGGTTTGCTTCCATTTTAAATTATTTCTTCCCTCCTTGTTGACAGTTCACTTTGTATTCCCCCCGCCTCCCCGGCAAGGCCCCCTTAGTTTCCTCTGGTTTTGTGGTTCCCCTGGAAGTGGCAGAAGCCCACGTGGAAAATAATCCACCTGCTGTTTGTGTTTGAACGGCATGACATCTTTACGCTTTTTGTGTTCTAGAGCCCCTAGCTGTTCTGCCTACCTTGCTGACCTCTTACAGTCCAAGGACAAGCTAGGCACAGACTCATGGTCTCAGATCCTGGGCAGAATTCCCCATCAGGCCCAGGTGAAAGGGAAGAGTGGGAGGAGGTGGGGACCGGGGATGGGAACAGCCATGAAGGAGATCACTGTGGGCTTCTTGGGCCACATGCTGGGTTTTCAGTCTTGACTTTGGTCTCTGAGTCAGGCCATGTCTAATTAAGGGCCTAGAATCATTGCTTTTTACTTTAAGAAGTGATTTAATAACTTAACAATCAGTGATACCAGTGCTCTGTGCGTCCCTGACCACCTCATCCTTCTAAGTGCTTTGATGGCATTACCGTATCACTTCGTGATTTCTCTCCTGAGACCAGTTCCACCCGGGGCATTGGCCTTACCTGTTCATGTGGAGCATCCCCTCTCCTAGAGCGTGAGGCCTGCTCCTTGGTGATGGTGCCTTGGCTTTCACTGGCCCCATCAGTTGGACGATCTCAGCCTCTCCTTGTCTCTCACACCTGGCCTTTCATACTGGTCAGGTCCAAACAAGAGGATCTGACTCTCTTCCTGGTCTGTTCTCCTGTGTAGCTCTCTTGTTTTAAAGCAGTAATTAAAGGAGCAGGGTGTCTGGATGAACCTGTTCCTGTGATCTTATCAGTTTCCCAGAGCAAATGCAGAAAGAAGGCCTTTGTCACAGGCAGAGTGGGTGGGCCAACATTCTCTTTCCTTTATAGAGGGATGGCTTTCCTCTCTCGACAAGCAGGGCCAGGCATCGTCCTGTGCTGCATCGATGCAGGAGAGAACCGAGAAGTGTGGGAACATCGTTTGGACTTTTCCCCTTGCTCCCATGTTATTGTTTTCTAAAGGAACTATTTCTCTGGTTTAAATAAAGTGGCAGCAGCTAGCTAACTAGGATTGAGAAGCACACCTCCTTTGTTCATGCTCCTGTTTTTCCAGTCCCCTGCTTATGATTTAGCATTTCACCCTTCTTGTGCAGATCCAGGGTCCTGATGTCAGGTCCTGGTGTGTCTTGTTGGGAAGAACTTGGTCCCCAGCAGTTTCTGTGCTGCTGGCCCAGGAATAGGTCGTGTTCTATTCTCAGACACTGGGGTCTTCTTGGAAAGGCTGCGGGCTTGGTGATGGGCACCACTTGTCCCTTTGGGAGAGAGGTCTTTTCCTCTGCGCACAAAGCCAGAGATTCTGTGGACATGCTAACTGCCCTCTAGAGCAAGAAACCCCTTCTTGCCAGCCTGTGGAATGTCACTTCTGCTGGAAACGCATACAAATGCAGAATGCCGATTGACCTCCTCGAGTGAACTTGGAGACCAAAGACTGATTTTACAAAAGGAAAAGCAGTGTAAACATGCAGTCTTGTGGGGGGTAATTACTGCCTTTCCAATTGAAATGAGCTTTCCCGGGAAGGTCAGCCTTGTCTCTAACTGGACGTGACCTTGAAGGACCAAGAGGGTGTCTCTTGCACCAAAAGCTCTAAAGAAAGCAACTAATGTTCCTGCTCCGGTGTTTCCTCAATACAGACATTAGCTAGTCAATGACCCAGAGCTGTCCCTGAGCTGCTCAGAATTTAGATCCATTCCTTTGCTGAGCCGGCAGGTTATATTTATATGTAATCGGGACTCTTTGCTAGTAGGGAAAATTCTGAGGACTGCAATCATTTTAGCTCTTAAAGCTGATGATTATTTCTATAGGTCCCCTTGCTTATTATCACTTTAGAAGCCTCTATTTTATGTCTGTTTGAAATATAAGGATCCATAAGATGAATTGGAATCTTCCTCTTCAGAGGTCAGAGCTTAAGGAACTTGACTGAAAGGATCATCTCTTTCCACAGATCCCAGTGGCCATTTTGGTTCACATTCCCATCAGGCAGCTCTGGCCAGAGGCCCCATAAAATAAGGTATTGGGCTGAGAAGTCCATCTTTTTTCAAAGACAGTCATGCTCCTCTAAGTTCTAGTGGTCATGGCCAGAACAGAGAGTCAGGTGTATATAGTTCTGTGTCATGTTGGTGTTTACCTTTTTTGGTTAAATAGTAAATCTGACACTGGTGCCCTAACAAGAATGGGAACTGTGTACTTGTACCAAGACTTGAAGATCTTGAAGTTCACATGTCGTGTGCAGGAGAACAAACCACCATGGACTTAACTCATAGAAGAGACTTTTAATACCAGCAGGTTCAGCCACCCACTGTGGGAATCCCCTTGAGAAGCAACTAGAAAACTCAGCAGTTCTGTGCCTCTGGCCATTTTATTGCCAGAAAGGTAAGACCCAAGGGCACTTGGGTGGCTCAGTTGGTTAAGCAGCTGCCTTCGGCTCAGGTCATGATCTCAGGGTCCTGGGATCGAGCCCCCCATCAGGCTCCCTGCTCAGCAGGGAGTCTCCTTCTCCCTCTGCACCTCCCCCCAACTTGTGCACTCTCTCTCTCAAATAAATAAAATAAATAAAATCTTAAAAAAGAAAAAGAAAGGCCAACAGGATTGCAATGTATGGACATCCTTCATTTCTTATAGATAACCAAAGTGAAAATGAGTCAGAGTGTTATCTGGCTTATGTTTTGAGAATCATTTGATGTCCTTCCATTTGTTCAGAGGTAAAATTTCCCAGCGGGCATGTTTTTAGAATGACACTCCAGTAAGTGTGTGAAGTGTTTAATCTTTGAAGGGCAGGTGAGCATCCGTGGACTGAGCTTGCTCAAGCAAGGTGGTGAAGGTGACTCTTGGCTGCGAGACCCTGACTCTGTGTTAATTTGTCCATGTTCTCAGGAGAATTTTCCTCAAACCCCAATGCCTTCGGTCCTGTGGCATATTCCCGTTCAGTTTTTTGGATTGGTGGAATTTAAGATTTAGGATTTTTTATTCTGATGGCATTTCTCCTTACAGAGTCATGCTGTTGTATTTTCTTTCAGATTTGTTCAAACTCTCCTGGGGTTTTCCCTTATTCAGAATCTGATGGCTACAGGGCTTCTTTGAAAGCCTCCACCCTGCCAGCGTCCTCCTCCATTTCCCTGCTCCTTTGACTCCTGTGTAACTCAAATGCTTGTTTTGTGCTTATTCATGCCAAGCAGATTTCTGATCGAAACGGATTTACTGAGGTTATTCCAGTACAAATATAGATGGCGACAGAGCTTTGCTTTCTTGTTTGCTCAGCAGGAATCACCAGGTTCAATCAACACCTGGAGAATTTTTTAAATGAATTAATTTGGTCCTGGATTGAAAGACGAGCTCCTTCAGCCCTGAGACTAAAGAGCCTTCCCTTAGCCATGAGGTGGGCCAGGTCAGGGCAGCAGGCTGACTAGATTCCTGCTGTTCTTTCTTGGGCTTTCTCTGTGTCTCTGTCACTTTTGAACCTTCTAGTTCTAGTTCCGAAGTCAGAGGTCTTAGGACATAGGAGTGGAAACAACTTTACGGGAGAGAATGCAGACTTCATAAAGCAACAGGGAATTCATCATCCCTGGCCTCAGGATGGTCATCAGCATCTGCTTTGCCAGGAAGTCGGTGTTGGGTGTTCTGGAGGTCTGCCTCAGGAACTGCTGTTTTCCCAGTGAGGTGTGCATAGGAAGGGTAGGGACCAGTACGCTGTAAATCCCCTGAACAAATTTGAGGTCTGAGAGGAAAGAACCTCTACTCTGCTCCTCTGGTCCTATCAGTACTCTGATATCTGGCCTTCCTCCTTTGCTTTTCCCTCTCCGCAGGAGTGGACAGATACGACGAGAGCTGGGGGCTGTTCCATTAGGTGGGCTGTGTTCATCAGGGGTGTGCAGCTTTTTCCTTTTTGGCTCTCAGTCCAAGGACGATTTCCCCATACCTGCTGGCTCAGCGCCCCTGCAGGCAGCAGGAACTAAAGGGAAGAAAAGTGCCCAAGGCCTCACGAAAGAGTGGGAGAAGTAGTTACAGATGGGGGCAGCTTGGCGGGGAATTGGAGCCCTCCTGGACGGTAGGGATCCCAACCCTTCATAGCGTACTTGGGCAGAAAGTATGCGGCAAATCTCGTCACACTGCTTTGAAAAGATGGGTTTGGATTGAGTTTGGTAACTTGATAAGAGCTTAAAAGAAGCTAGCACTTATCCTGGGCTCTGCTGCAGCTTTGGGTGCAGTAGAATTATTCCACACGG